GGGGGAGGGGGGAGGGGGTAAAGATGTGATATCTCACCATTTGACCACCCTTCAAGGTCCTAAGATAACCCCAGTTGGCAATGACTTAGACATGGAGAGGGGATGAGGAGGTGTTAACCTCATATTCCACTGAGGGCGGAGAGGTGAGTTGCATTTTCTTTTGCTTGTTCGAGATTTGGGAGCACGCATGCTTTCTCTCTTTTCCCAGCTGGTTGGCCCAGATTTGCAAAATTCGCACTCAAAGATCTAAAGGCAAGAAGATTTGTACAGTCAGAATCAGAAAGGGCTAGCTAGATTTCCCCTCCAGTGGGCCGCTACGCTACTGACCTTAAATGTCATCACATCTGCCAGAAGCATGGAGTGTCTGGTGTCTATGCTCATCCCATGGCTGCCCATGGTGTACTGAATCTCGTTCATTATAGACTTCCGTGCCGCTTCGATGCCGAGCGTCTCCATTGCTTCCATAATATGATTGCTGGTTGTCTCCCTCCCGTCGACTCCTGGGGTCCCCATGACAGCACGAAGGTTGGTCCTACACATCCCCCGCACACAATAAGAAGACAGACAAATTAATAAATTATTGACAAAAACCAAGACTTCCCGAATGCTAGGCTGCGAAAATAAGCTTCAAAATTGCCACGACAGCAAACTTGCACCTCGCTGGTATACATGGGGGGCCCGGCGGGGGCGAGGTTGGCCTGCCGGGTCCACAGGGGGGGAGTGGAAGAGGGCACAGAAAAAGTCACGGATGCATCGTCGCGCAGATGCTGGTCTGGTCCCATGATGTCCGCACGTTCGGGAAAACCAGGTCTCCTTTTTCTTTTTAAATTTTAATGTGGTTACGCAGAACTTCGGCAGAAGCCTCTTTTTCTAATATAGCCACTAATAACAAATAATTCCTCCTTGTGGACATTCCCTCGCTCATTTCTTTCTTTCTTTCTTTCTTTTTTTTTTCTTTCTTTCTTTCTTTCTTTTTGTTCTGAACTCAGGATCCTCTTTCCTGGCAACCACCTCAGGGCGTACTCACACTACCACTATCCTAAATGCACCTGACTGCACTTACGGCTGGACTTGTACGCATCTGGACGTAATTCCGTACTGAAATAAGGAAAAACGTGCTAGTGTGAGCATGCCCTCAGACCAACTTCCGTATAACCAACAGGACATAAATGGAGAGAGAATCCTCACAGTCCTGGATGAAAATGTCAAAATGATGATTTAAAAAAGAGTTTTCTAGTTGGATAAACAAAAAGAGGAAAAAAAAAAAGAAAAAAAAAAAAAGAGTATATGACGAGTTTTTCCCAACCATGGGGTTTACCCAGCAAATCCTTCTCACGATAGTGAAAGGATTTCACCTCTCAGTCAAGTCCCGTGTCCCAGTCCCAGTGTCCCAATGGTCCCAGTCCCATGTGCTAACGCCAAACAGGCAGGCCCTGTGGCTGAAACACTGATTCAGGCTAGATTGTTAGATGTCTTAAGGCCATTAGGAGTTCGGTAGACCGGGTACCTGAGAAGGGAAGTCCAACTCCCAGTCTAAACTTAGCAGCAGCATCCAGGGAAGGACCAATTACTTCCGCAACTGGTACAATTGCGACCGACAGACCTTCGGAGAGAGTGACCAGTCTGGTGTCGATTGGAGGCACGACTTAAGAAGGTACAAGACCATTGGAGGCAATCTCAAATGCTTATTGGCATGTTGCCAGCAGCGCTGCTGAACACTTGTGCGATGGTGCAATGCGACTGGTTGGGCGAGCCGGTGTACTAACCTGGCACATAGCGCCATAGCTAGGACTAGAGAGGGGAGCAGAGATGAAGTAGCCATAAAATATGAGCACCGAGTGCACACACACACACACCCAGAGAGAGAGAGAGAGAGAGAGAGAGAGAGAGAGAGAGAGAGAGAGAAACACC